TTAGACAATAATATTAATAGTATTTCTTGTAGTATTGGTTATGGTAGTGTTTCATTATTAGTCAGCTTTCTAATCCTATTTGTGGTAGATGTTGTATGTTAGTTAGTTTCCATTCTCTATTCCTAGTTGTGTTAGGAGTCTCTCCTATATATACTCTATCATGTACTCCATAATTCAATGAGCAATATTAATATTCCAATATTTCAACATGGTATCGGAGCCACCGCTCTTGGTGACCTAAAAAAAAAGTTCTTTGTTCCCGCCGCCGCCGCTAGTAATTCCAGCGACGGCGGCTCCACCCTATTCACCTCTATTTTCTTTTCCTTCTTTATCTTCAAATCAACTTCTCCATTCAAATGAAAAAAAGGAAAAAACTCCTATTGAAATCACACAAAAAAAACTATCGAATGAGGAACTTCTCTCTTGTCATCTCTATGGTTCTTCAAAAAAGAAACTCAACTCCTTACAAACTCTCTCAGATCTCAAAAAAAAGGAAAAAAAATGATTGTTGTTTCTCTTCAATTCACCACATCAAAATCTCAAACCCAAATTTTTTTTCCATCACCAATTCTTAACCTACTTTTTCTCTTTAAAATCACTCATTCCAATCATCAACCTCCCTTCTCTTTCTCTTCTGTTGAATCATTAAAAATCCAAAGTAAATCAGCACAAAAGCAAAGCCAAGAGGGGAAGTAGTGAAAGAGGAAATAAGACCTCTACTACTCACCCCTTCAAGAAGAAAATAGGGCATTGCCCGGATCCAAGAAAAAGACAAAAAAATGTCAAGGATCTTCAGTCAAACAGGCACCTCCAGTAGCTTTCTCTATTCTTCTTCGACGTCAGCAGCTACAAGCGCATGTCAACCTTCTCTCATCTTCATCGACATCAGCAGCTACTAGTGCACGTCAATTTCTCTCTTCTCCAACGACGTTAGCAGCTACCAGTGCACGTCAGGCTTCTCTCTTCTCCAACGACGTCAGCAGCCACCAGCGCGCGTCAGATTTCTCTCTTCTCCAACGACGTCAGCAGCCACCAACGCGCGTTACACTTCTCTCTTCTCCAACGATGTGAGCAGCCACCGGCACATGTCAGACTTCTCTTTTCTTAAAGTTTCCTGTTTCCAGCTAGTGTCCAAGCTTTCTCTTGCTTCAGCCAGAGTTCAGTTTGAGGGGGGATGTTAGACAATAATATTAATAGTATTTCTTGTAGTATTGGTTATGATAGTGTTTCATTATTAGTCAGCTTTCTAATCCTATTTGTGGTAGATGTTGTATGTTAGTTAGTTTCCATTCTCTATTCCTAGTTGTGTTAGGAGTCTCTCCTATATATACTCTATCATGTACTCCATAATTCAATGAACAATATTAATATTCCAATATTTCAACAACTATGCTCATATCCCAATGCATCTTTTGAAAATAGAGATGGAAAATAAAAGGTCCACAAAAATAATAATCTATTTTTACCGATTGGGGAAAAAAACAAATTGGAGGACAAAAGAGAACCCATATATCATTTCTAAAACCCACTCATCATACTTCAGGAACTCAGTAAGTCTTAAATATTGAAAAAGACTTGGGGACACAGAATGCATATAGCTAAGCAAACAAGAGAATAACACAGAATTTATTACACAATGGTACTTTTTTTTTACAAAGGGTGGATTAATTGAACCCCCCATAAGTTTTTTGAGCTCCAAAATACGAGGAAGACGAACCATCTATTGATTCCCTGGTTTCGCGCCATTGATAACGGGTGAAGCACCTCTGAGGGTCTTGACATAGGATGCGTATTCACCGAAGCCCATGGTAAATAGTGAGCTTTGGTAACGGGTGAGCCGAATGCTCTCTCGCAGCTTTGAGGGAATGGAGCCAGTGTAACCTGCCTTTCTAATCAGTGAGTCGATTGCTTGTATATTCGTCCAGCCTGGTGGATATAATAAGTAGTATTACAAACAATGCATCAGAATGAAGATTGCTTATGGAGTGTTTGGTTTCATGCTTAAATTGTTCCTGTCAATTGTGATTGTAATTAAGATATATATATATATATATATATATATATATATATATATATATATTTACAGAGAGAGAGAGAGATGGGAAAGATTTAAGCTACCTTCAGCAGCAGCAACCTCAGGTAAGTAGGTGGCACTTAGCCTTCTACCAGAGTTGGGATCACTAAATTCAATAATTATTCCATGCTTCCCAACCTGCATTCACAACAACAATAATGTTCCAAAAATGCATTAGGTGTGACTTTACAAGGAGTATAATTAGTGCTCATTTGGTAAATATTTTTTTTTTGGTAGAAAATCCTTTGGTAAAAGTCATTTCAGCCAAATCAGAAAGTCAAAAGCTCATATTCATGCATACTCTGTGAAATGAATTTCTGAAGTAAAAAAAAGAACAAATAATCTGTAAGAGGCATAACTCAGTTTCAGATGGAAATTAGTGCAAAAGCCTTGGATGATAATTTTCAATATAGCACTAACCTCCCAATCAAGGTAGCCATTTGCAGTTTCATAGTTAGTCAGTATTGAAACTGTACATTCCAAATCAGGAAGCTCTTTAGCTTCTATGGGGGGAAACCGTCGGTCCTTGAGGGCACTGAAAATTTGGAAAGATGAACTCAATGGCACCTTTTAACAAGATCTACTCCGTATATATTACAAGTAAATGCCACATAAAAATTGAATTCAACTATATTAGCAAACAAAATATTGAAATTTCAGGCTGTAAACAGCATTGAGAATTTGAGATTATCATAAGGGGTAGGTGGCATTAAATTTATGTTGTGCCAAATAATTAATTGTGTAAATTTAATTAACACTAAATTTATGCAAAATACATTATGGTAAATGGTAATGTTTTACGCCTGATGCCCTTCTTGTTTCAACCTTCACGCAGAATAATGAGATGAAAGTTATCATCAGTCTATTCCCATGTGCATGGAAAATATCATAAGATTGCAGTGAGTATAGAGATAATTTCTAACAAATCTATGGGACATTAGCAGAAGCATTCATAAAATGATGTATGCAACATCAACAACAAACCCAGTATAATCTATCCCAATCTGTTGGGGGTCAAGATATATGCAATCTTACCCTTTTAAAAAATAGAGAGGTTGCTTCCGTTAGTCCTTCGATGCATTGATACATTTCATTTACTACCCCAAACTTCATAGAACATAAGAATAATGAAAAGTTTAAAATATTCTCACTTGGCAATGGGAGCAAGTATGTGAAAAAACTACAAATCAACAAAAAACAAGCTTTCATAGAAAATAGAAGACACACAGACCACACGTTTTTTTTCCTTTCAGAACCCCAATCCAGATCAAAATGATGACCACACTCTTGTACTAGTTATACATCATGTTTCTCAATAGATGATACATAAAAGTGATAAGTAAGAAAATAAACAAGTAATTTAAACTACTCATACATGACGAGTCAGAATAATGAGCACCAAGATATGTAGTACTCCATGACTCCATTGAATATTGATAGTTCGAGTTCAAAAACTATATTGTGTAACCATATACCTTGTTAAAGCATATTCCCTGAATCCATTCATTATGGGGAGAGCTTTCAAAGTCCCTATGCATCCACGTAGACTTGGTTCGCGACCATTGGTCGCTTTCTTCCACGTTACAAACAATGGACTGAAACCAAAGAGCAACATAGACAAAGCATATTCAAACATGTCATTAAACCTTTCATATTATCTAAAGTATAAAATATTCTTTTCGTAACTTAACAAGAAAATAAACAAGGAACAGCCGTGGGGTTTTGGGTAGATTGGTTTTTCAAGTGAATAAGATATGACAATTACGAACATAAAAATTGCCATTTTAGTATCCAGTATGGAGTTATTTTACCATGGAAAATTGGGAATCACTTGCATCAGTATAAAATGAGAGCCTCAATTCATTTGCATGCCTCTGAGACTCAAGAGCTTAACATGTAACTCTAAAAGCCCAGAAATAAGTAAAAACACCCTTGATTCCATACGAAGGAGCAGGCATGGTTACTAAGAAACTAAAAACAGTGTGATTTAGATTTACGCATAAGAAACATAATGAGTAAAACATGTTTTTTTACTTAGAATGGAAAATGAACCTTATTTTGGGACAAAAAAAGGAAAGTGCGAATTATCATTTAATGGCATAGCAGGAATTGTAAACATCAGCTCTAAAAAAACCATCGACCAGAATAGCTTTCTAATACAGAATAATGAAACTCACATGACAATATACACATAAAAACACATTCAGTCCATAGCACCAACTACCAATGAAATAAAAGCAAGACTCCTCTGATAAAGAAACTACTCCCTCCGTCCCCAAAAGAAATTCGCAGTTTCGCACTCTCTTTTTTCATTAGTCTCAATATAAACTTCTCAGTTTTTCTCTTTCTTTTCCACATAAAGCAAGGGATTTAGTGGCCTACAACATTACTCTCCTCTAAACAAATTTTATCCACACATTTTTCATTTTCAAACAACTTTTTTGAATCCGTGAAGTCAAATCATAACCTTCTTTTGGGGACGAATGGAGCATTGAACAAAAAAATATTCCCTCCATCCACGAGGAATTTTCGTCTTTGACTTTTCTAGTCAAACTTGTTAAACTTTGGCTACTAATACTCCCTCTGTCAACATTGATTTCTTTACATGATGATTTACAATGTTTGACTGATATTGTTATAATAATGGTGTAAAACTAAAAATCATAATTTTTTATTTAAAAACTAAAAACTACACCAAAAGATTTAGAAAACAAAAGGAAGTAATATAAGTACATATTTTATCAAATGATACCCGGGAGTAGATGAAAATATGTAAACAAGAGAAACTCGTTTGATCCAGGTGTACAGAGGTAGTATATGTTAAGGTATGAACATGAGTCCATGACTTATAACATGAAAACAATACACCCTCCATCCCATAAAAGATTCTGCATCCCCTTTATTGTCTGTCTAAAAAAATTCACACTTTTCATTCATAGATTTTTTTTTGGGTTAAAATGATTTTGTTCCCTGAGAAATGAGCATTTTTTGCTTTTAGTCCATCTAAATTTTTTTTATTAAATCATCCCTGTAAAATATTTGTTATGCAAATGGTCCTTCCACCAAATTAGAGTTAATTTGTTACGGTTTAAAAGGACCAAAAACAGAACCGCTTTGAATTTAAATCATTTTACGGGGATAAAAAACAAAAAACACTAAATTTCTAGCGACCAAAAACGAATTCAATGTTAACACTAAAGTTAAAATAAATGATGAAAGGACTATTTGATTAAAAAAAATTGATGGAGTAAAAGGGAAAAAATGCTCATTTCACAGGGACTGAGAGCATATTTTACCCATTTTTTTGTGACCCATATTATTTCTCTCTCCTTAATTCTACTTCCTTCCAATCATATAATTTTACTCCTTTTTTTGTGGGTTCTAATTTCTAAATGTTCTTTGTATAATAAAAAGCACACTTTCATAAAAGCACAAACCTTATAAACCAATCGCCTCAATATCACAACATATCAAGTTAAAACCATAGAATAAAGTTTGACATGTTTTACTACTCCGTAGTAAAGTTGAAGATGGAAAAATCCTGGACTGAGTGAGAAGATTGAAGCTATAAAAAACATTGAGCCACCATATATAAGGAAGAGAATGAGACTTTAAACAGAAATAAGGGGAAATGATTGAATTAGATGGAAGCCGTACTGCTCGCCGTCGTTGAAATCGGGGGGAGGAACCTCGTCGCGATTGTAGTGCGCGATCAGAGTGTCGAAGCAGTAGACAGCCATCTCCCTGTTCGCCGACACCATTGTTTTTCTCTTCCCTATAATTATTATGTATGCGGTTGAGAGAACAGAGCAGCTGAATTGATCAATTGGAATTGAATTTTGGGGGTCTTGAGAATGTTTTAGTTGTGGGTGAAGACTAAAGAGGGTGTTTGGGTTACTTTAAAAAGTAATTATGAGGTGTTTTGATTTCAATTTTTGTAGAAATCACTCCATCTACAAGTTAACCATTCTCAAACACTCTCAAAACAATTTTTACAAAAAGCTAAAAGCTTCTATGTACATAGTGATTGTGGAAAAAAACAAAAGTTGATATGCCAAATAGAATAAAATGATTACCATTTAATCAGAAGCTAAATTTTGGAAAGTATCGCAGTGTCGAATACCTTCGACATATGGAGTAATTGTAGGGAGTATTTAAAACTCTATAAGATTTGGTCCTATTCTTTTGAGTTAGAATTTCAGAGTTGGAGGTTGGAAGAATCTAGAAAGAGTTGAAAAATCTTGAAAGAGTTAAAGTGTTTAAAAGTCACTCCATTAAATGGAGAGTAATTGTGTAAAACAAATGTGAGTACTAAGTCAGAATAAGCGAAAGGGTTGTAGGTGAGAACACTTGTAACCCACTCTGTTATTAATGATGTAGGGAATGTTTGCAAGTCATGTGGGCTATTAATTGTTTGTCTCCTTAATGAGACTTTCAACCCTATTTATATGTACAATAAATACAATGTTCATGGCAAATCACCCACTTGGCTTGTCAGAATCAAGTGGGCAAGCGCCCGGTCAGCGTTGATGCCCGATGAGTCTCCAAGCCTTCGGCGGATGAAGTCACGATCTCACGAGTCTGACCCCCCGACATCCATCCAGTCAGTCTACCGGTTAGTGAGGTAAGGCTGACTCAGACTTTGGTACCTCCCGGGCGCCTATGACACCCACTCGGTTAGCCTACCGGGGTTGGTGACGTCAGACAAGGCCAGAGTTCGGTACCTCTCGAGCGCATGTGAACTTGTAGAGTGGTACCAGTGGGTGGTTATACCAATCAGAGAGAACTTCTTAAATAGGAGTAAAAAATTATGAAAATATTAAAATATGAGTCATAAGTTTTTTGGAACCAAAATAGGAAGTTCAGACTACCATTGTTACACTATCATGCTCACCATATTGTCACATTGTAACTGTCACACTATCATTCCCACAATGTTATCTGTCGCCATCAGCCACCAAAATGTCGTTGTCAATCAAAGATGATTGACTAATCATATTGACATATTATATTGTCATTACTTTTCCATCACACGGTCATTGCATATTCTTACTTTACGTTGTAATTATATCTTATTTTGGTCTTAAAAGATATAAGACTCCTATTCTGGCAATTTCAATTTTTTTATTCCTATCCAGAAAGATTTCTTAATTAAATGATCAACCAATCAAATACTCCCTCCGTCGAAAAATGTTTTCCTATTTGATTTTTTACGGTCTCCAATATTATACTTTGAATATTAATATCTATATTTATACATAGATATATCTTATAAAATTTGATATTTCAAAGTTACATTTTATTAACAACATATTAATATTAAAATTATATCATAGTACAATGCATTTTTCCCACAATCAGAGTCAAGGTTTACAAGCTTTGACCTTAAAAAGTTGAATGCGAAAAACATTTTCGGACGTAGACAGTATGTAAGAAAAATAATTTTGGATATAAAAAAGGAATTCATTCTTATTCGTGTTTAAGGATGTCTGTTATGAATTTGAATATATATTTTTATTTTATAATCACTACGTGTGTGTGTGTGTGTATATATATAGGCCAGTTCAGGTGAGAATGCATCTTGGTAAAAGAAATAAGAATGAAATCTAGCCTTTGGATCTGATGCATCGTACGGCTCAGATTGCATCCTGCACTTAGATTTTGAGATAGTGCATTTTCAAAGGATTTTGGTGCATTCCGACATGATGCATTTTCAAACCATTTTGGTGCACCTAATTTTGATGCAATCCTGATCTTTAGATCTCACAATCTAAAGCATCAGATTCATATACACACACACACACAAAATTGCTGCTGGGTACCCCTAATTGTGGGATAAAGACTAGCAGGTCCCATTGTTTTTCAAAATATACTCCGAGGTACCTTAAGATATTCGAAAACTGACTCCGGGGTGACAATCCGTCATTCTCTCCGTTAACATTTCTTCTCCGTTATCCTCCTCCTCCTTCTCTTCTCAAAAAATTGCTGCCAGGTACCCCTTATTTTCGGATAAAGACTGGAAGGTCCCATTTTTTAAAAAAATTTACTCATGGGAATTTAAAATATGATGTTTGTGACTGAAGAGGGAACTTACGTATCATTTATAAAATTAAAATTATTTATTTACTTGGTTATAAATTATACGTCGTAATTCATAATAATATTAAATTTAACACTATTTTTATTGTTTCATATTATCTTTACAAGACATATTAAATTTAACACTATTTTTATTGTTTCATTTTATTCTTTTCTCAAGTCTTCTTGTTTTCTCGATTTACCATGACACCATTACCAATGACGACTATCAATGACTAATGCGGAGTACTATTTTTCTAAATAATAATGATTGTTACTCCGTATTTCTTAAAAATAGAGTAATAAAATTACTACTCTGCAATTAACTTTTAATAATAATTAAGGAAATAATAGGAAATACATAATATTATCAATTTTGACCAAAAAAACAAGAGTAGACAAATACTCTAGAACAGAGGAGTAATTAATATGAAGTAATAATAATAACTAGTGGTATTTTTTAAAAAAGTACAGAAGTAAAATTACTAATTAATTGCTTAAAATAAATAATAGTATTAATAATAAGTGTTATTTTATAATAAATGCTATTTTTCTAAAAAACAATTAGTGTTTTTATAGAAAAGAGTGGTAAAACTAACAATTAATTTTTAATAATAATAGTAATAATAATAAATCAAAAAATTAATAATAATAATAGAATAAGAAAATAATAATTATGAAGTAATTAATTATAATAATTATTAACAAATATAATAATTATAATAGAAGAAGAAAAAACAAAAGAAAAGGTAAAAGAAGAAAAAAACGGGGGTGGGGGAGGAATGGAGGTCACTGGAACTCTGGAAGACAAGAGAAAGAAGAAGAAAAGAATGGGACCTGCCAGTCTTTATCCGAAAGTAAGGGGTACCTGGCAGCAATTTTTTGAGAAGAGGAGGAGGAGGATAACGGGGAAGAAATGTTAACGGAAAGAATGACGGATTGTCACCCCGGAGTCAGTTTTCGAATATTTTAAGGTAACTCGGAGTATATTTTGAAAAACAATGGGACCTGCTAGTCTTTATCCCAAAATTAGGGGTACTCAGCAACTATTTTTTGATATATATATATATATATATATATATATATATATATATATATATATTTTAATAAAAGCAAAACAAACTTGGCATAAACGTGGATAAACCTCGGAATAACAAAAAACATGAGAAAAGTACATTTCAATGAAACCTTGTCAAGAAATGCTAAGACATGATGATAAACCGAAAAATTAATCTAGAAGCATATATCTTGCACAAACCCATTCCCTGCAACTTATACTTTAGCAGCTTGCCTTTCCTTGCTCTTGTGGATCTTCAAAAACTTTCTTCACAATTTTTTGCTCTTCAACCAAAAAGGCTCTGATGATCCTTTCGCGGACGGCAGAACCTACGGCACCTAGGCAGTCTGGACCTCTTGTACTCAGCAGGTCTCAAGTGGGGAATCCCTTGGATTCTCTTTCCAGTTACAGGGCACTTGTGGCCATTAGCCCTCTTCTTATGTCTCTGATACACAAGCTTCCCACCTGGGGTTTTGACGATCCTGTGCTTGTTGGACTTAGTGGCATAGCTGTGCCTTAGTCAACTTTTTTATTTTCTAAATATGACTTAATAATGACCTTGTGGAGGAATAATGTCCAGTAATGATGAACATTTATTTGAATAATGACTACTTCATAATGACCAAAGGTCCTATATTGGAAAATAAAAACATATGGTCTTATATTGAGAAAGTCATTATGTTTTAGTCTCATTTAGGTAAATTTTTATATATATATAAGTAATTGTTGGAAAAAAACCGAAAAAAATTGAAAGAAATTCAAAGTTAGTTTTTTCAAAGAAAAGAACAAAGTCTAAAAGAGGTGATATGAAAATATTATTGAGTTAAATGACAAAAAAGTAGTTAAAGAAAATTATTAAAATTTGATAAGGGTATGGTTTTCACTTTTCACTAGTCAAACCGGCCTAAACAAGTTGGCAAGAACAAACCCGGCCTGCAAAAACCAACCTCAAACGAACCCTCAACCGCCGCCCCAAAAATTTTCAGACCACTGAGAACACTGGCCATGGATGACGACGGCGAGGAACCGCCGCTGGCCGTTGAGATATCCACCGCTGTCGATGAATTTACTCAGCCGTCTACTCTAATCAGTCACCATCTAGAAGCCACCGGTTCCCCGCCCGTCGGCGTCACTGTCATCACCGGCTATCTCGGAGCTGGGAAATCGACCGTAAACATCTTTTTAATTTTAGCATATCTCTCTCCCTAAACCTAATGCTCTATCTATTGACTGTTCAGTGTTGTGTTTCAACGAACTTGTGGAAATTTGCAGCTGATTAATTACATCTTGAGCGCCCAACATGGGAAGAAAATAGCCGTGATACTTAACGAGTTCGGGGAGGATCTGGGAGTGGAGAGAGCGATGATCAATGATGGAGAGAGTGGTGGGCTTGTGGAGGAATGGGTGGAGCTTGCTAATGGCTGCATCTGCTGCACTGTGAAACATAGCTTGGTTCAAGCTTTAGAGCAGCTTGTTCAGAGGAAAGAAAGGTTTGGTTATTAAATTAATTTCGGTCTTCGTTTGCCTTCGATTTCAGCATTGTTATTCATCACATAAACGTATTGAACTTGTATGAAATGGGACTGAAATGCGTAGGCAATTGAATTTGGTTGTGTGGGAATTTGCAAGGTCCAATGCTTTGTTAAGAGTCTTGTTGCGCTATTAAAAAAAAAGGAACTGTAACTTTGTGCTATTCAGTATCAACGGGAGATGTCTATTGTAAATGCATCTTGATGGTTTCTGTTTTATAGGAAATATGCTATGATGATGATGGTTATGGATTTTTATCTTATTATTCTTAATACAGAATAACATGTTTGCTGTTACATGGACATCTAGGGCATATTTTTGCATTTTTGCTACCATTTTTTTTGGAGCATAAAATTGTGGCGTTGAATAGTTTTGAAAATTTGTTGACACAATAACTTCCATGCCACCAGAAGTCTGTATTCTGCAGCTTCTTAGGCTGACAGGAACTTTATTAGAGTAGTGTGTATGCTTGGTATTGCTGTTATCAGTAGCTTTTCACAAACTATGATTTTTGTTGTATGTAGACTTGACCATATATTGCTAGAGACAACAGGTTTGGCAAACCCTGCGCCCCTGGCATCTGTTCTTTGGTTGGATGATCAACTTGAATCATCTGTTAAGCTTGACTCTATTATTACTGTGAGTTGTATGGCATATGATAATTTTACCCAACTGTGCGAGATAGATTCAAATATTCGTTTCTGCTCTATTCTTTTAATATTTATCTGTATTTTTTTCTGCAATTTTCTATTATGGTTGTGTTTTGTAGGTAGTCGATGCAAAAAACCTTCCTTATCAGCTGAAGGTTCACCATGAATCATCTTCATTTCCTGAAGCATACTTGCAAATAGCATTTGCGGTATGAGAAAGTTTATAGCTTCAAAGTATCTCTTTATCATTGGATATTTTTTATTTCTCGTATATGTAAATGTTCATCTTCTATGCATCTATCATCCACTGTCTTTTTTTAACACTTAATTTTCCTTGAGAATGTTGATGAAACATTTTTATTATCTAAAGTGTTTTTTGGTGTATTTTATAGGATGTTGTGATTCTTAACAAGGTTGATCTGGTTTGTCAAGATGGTTCTGGATCCATCCTAGATGAGCTGGAGAAGGAGATTCATGATATCAATTCCCTTGCAAATATCATTCACTCCATTCGTTGTCAAGTTGACTTGTCCGCAATATTGAATTGCCAGGCGTATGATCCGACAGTATGTCAAACTAGTTTTCAGTCTTTTGCTTCTATCCGAGAAAAAAACATTATGTATTGACAACTAATTTAATATTATGGTCTTATTCAGCATGTAACTCACTTGGAAGCATTGTTGGAAGCAAATAAATCTTTAACTACTCAAGATCTTCATGATACTGGCATTAGGACATTATGCATTTGTGAGTCGCAGCATGTCAATCTTGATAAGGTATTCTGTGAAAATTTTCTTGAGTGTTTCTCTTAGAGACCATTTGGAACTTGGAAGACAAAAGTGTCTTATTCTGATGTAGAATAATCAAAATAAGTAGTTTTGACTTATTTGACTGATTTAAAACTTACCAATCACTTTCTCTTTTAAAAAAAGTTCGATACATCCTGCCATATCTTAGCAGGTTCTTATTATTTTAGTTGAATATTATTGGCTTAGGGAGTATATTAAAAAGGCTATCAGGATTTTACACTTTTATCCTCCCGCTCTTTTTTTTCAAGAGGTTCTGACAGACCTCATCTGCCTTTTTCTTGCACCTAAAGGTTCATGTATGGCTTGAGGAACTTCTTTGGGACAAAAAGGATGACATGGACATCTATCGTTGTAAGGGAATTTTAAGGGTCATTGATTCAGATAAGCTCCATACTCTTCAGGTAGCTCTTCTTTATCTTCCAAACCCATTCAAGAAATTAGCCTAAAATCGACATGATAGAGCAACCAGATTTATAAACAGTTTGAGGACTAAAACATTATTGGATAGAGTCATAGAACTACTCCTTGCATTTCACCTTAACTGTTGCTCAAGGACTAAGCACAAAAATTAAGTTCATTGAATATCCTATACTTTTATAGGAAATTTATATCATACCCAAATTACCCGTAAGTAATGTTTTTTCTTGGAATTATCAAAATTTAATTTTTTTGTCATCTATTAAAATTTAATTTTGTTTGAGGAAAATTTAGAAGTTACTTTAATTGAGAACTGAGATGGAGAGGGCAAAGGATGGAAACTTTGTAATATATGATCTCTTGATTTTATAAATTGGCAGAAGTTACGAATCAGAAAAAAAAAAGCAACCATGACGAGATTTATTTTAGACGTAGGGTGCAATTGATTGTTGTTGAAGAGGTTAGTACACAAATACTTGCAACAACAACATCAACAAAAACAAACTGAGTATCATCCCAACTTCTTTGGGGTCTAGGGTCGAGATGTACCCAACTTTTACACGTAAAAACAGAGTTGTTTCCATTAGACCCTTGATCACACATACAAATACTTGCATGTTTAATTAATAATGCAAGAGTGAAGAAAGTCAAGAAACCATTTCACTTTGCATATGGTTGTTGCATGTGGTCATTATTAACATTGGAAGCTTTTTGACTAAACGATGTCTTCTTTGTTAATAGTAAATATCGCTATAGGATTTCTGATTATTCACATGGACTATCATAACCAATGTTTTTTGTTTTTCAATTTACCTGATAGGGTGTGAGAGAGATATACGAGATTGTTCCAACACGTGAATGGAGAAGCGGAGAAATTCAAATGAACAAACTTGTTTTCATTGGTGAACAACTTTTGGATTTCGATAAATTGTGTACAAATGGAAATAATCTTCTTTTTCCTCAATTTTTTATTTGTATATTGTTATGCAGGTAAATCATTAAAGGAAGATATTCTGTTGGATTCTTTAAGAGCTTGTTCAGTGGAAACCTCACATTGTGCTACACTGGGAAATGAATCATCAATCACACAAATTTAGCTTCTTGCAAGAGCTCATTCATTTATGTGTTTGGTTAGTTCAATGTGCTCTATCACTATCCAATGTATCCATGGCTTAATTCCGTAATGGTGTGTTTGGGAAGTTGAATTTGGATTTTAAATCTGGATTTCATCCAAATTAGTTTTTGGGAACTCAAAGAATTTGGATTTGGATTTAGACCAAATTCTTCTAATTCAAAATTAGCCCAACCACAAATCCACACCTCTCCTCATGTCATTTACAAATTCAAGCCCAACTTTCTTTAATTTATACTCCGTAACTTGTAATTCAAGAGTGATCTCCCTTTATGCAACATTAAGTCCATACATATCAACCTGCTTCCGTTACCGTCTTTGCCGATTTCAAAGTTCAAAATCTAGAATTGAAATTCTATGACTTGCAAGCAACATTTGGAATCTGAAATTATGGGATTTCAAATATTGGAATTGAAGTATAAAATTTCAAACGAATTCTAGTTCCCAAACACTACCCAAATGTATATGGTCGGTCCCACGTTGATTGTGACATAAAATTTACAGCGTGATGAGCAGGAGTGACTCAACAGAATTTACATCCTCTCTTGTGATGCTCGTTTGGCGAGGTTTTGAGTTTGAGTCACCGTGAGGAAGAAGAGGTCTAACCCCTGAGCTCCGAAGTTGTGTTCGTATAATATACCTCCATCAACTCTGCAAAAAGAGGGCCATTGAAGAAGATCTATCAAGGTCATAACCAGTTATTGGCTCAAGTTAACTTTTTTCCAGTCATCAACAAAATACAGCTTGAAGAGACAGTGGCGATGTACAATACAAAAAGACCATTGGCAGCAGGAAGAAAGCCCTTCTTGAATAGAATGTGGCAATGCAGGCCTTGAAGTCTTTCTGATACCCTTTACAAAAAAATAGATTGCAAGGTTGTTTTGGAATTTTCTTGAGTTGTTATTTTTAGTTTAACTGACCATTGATAAAACTTTTGTGGAGATGTTTTAAGAGATTCATATACTCCCACTGTCAAGCTATGTCTTTTCTTTAAAAAAAAGTATTTTCACTAGTCATTTGAAAAAAAAGTCGCCTTAGTAAAAAAATTAATGTGATGTAATTTTTAAATATAAAGTGTTTTTAAATTCTACGTGAGTTCTCAAATAAATTGATTTGTTAATAACTTCAATCAAATTTTGTGCTTCGCAATACGTAAGTGGTATGGAGTACTATTTCTTTTAGAATTAATAAGTGAACTTTTCCAGTAAAATTTTAAAATAATCAAATTTTGGAGCATTGAAGTAGATGATGAGGATAAAAGAAAAGGTAAGAAATTGAGGGTTTTGTTTTGGTTTACATTTGGCTCATGAAAAACTATAGGCTATTTTGACTAAAAAAATATATATCATATGTAGTACACTAGTACTCATCTAAATTTTGATTTGTAAAGTCTCTAATGATATTTTTTTTATCATTAATATATTTATTTATATATAAATATATTATACTTTAAAATTATATTTGAAAATAAATATATTAATATTAAATTTATATCACAATTCAATTTTTTTTGAAAATTGTTATCAAAGTTCTAAAAAAATTGATGGTGCAAGTCAAAATTGGAGTCCACTCCACACAAATTAGAAATTCCCAGCCCTTGACAATCAAGGTCGGAGAACGGAAAATCTGGGGTGGGAGTCGCTACTCCGCCGCTCTTTGTTCACCCGCGGCCTGCCGGCCACCGAAGCCCTGCGCGGCTGAACATCTCCCACCCCCTCCCGAACCGGTAGTCATAAGAGGTTTGAATTCTTCAATTTTTTGAGGTAAGATAATGTTTTTAGATGTATAATCCATCTGAGATATATACAGTAAAGCCGTAGTATTTCTTCAATTCTTCAAATTCCTTTGATGTGCTTACTATACGAGGATTATTCAGGCAGTAATCCGTATTGTTTTGTGGTACAAAAATATTTCCTTTATATTTATTGTTTTTTTTCTTTCTGAATGTCTGGGTGATTGGATTATAGCTTCAAATTCTCTAAAGTGAAATTAAATTTGGATTATTAATTGAAATTCTTGGTTTTTTTGTTGACACATTGTGAGTGTTGGAATGTCAGTTAAGTTATTTTAGGGTTTGTCACTTGGTTTGTGGAATATTTGAATTAGATTTTTTACTTGGTTAATGTATAGTCTGTAAAGATCTTCACCCTTCCATTTTCACCTAGCTAAAAAAAATCACTTTTCTTTTTAAAGAAATGAATAGGTGACCCAGAAATCTATTTTCTTAACAAATTCTAACCACACTTTTTAGCACTTTTCGTAAACTTCGTGAAAGTCAAACCACAAAAGTTTTTTTACCAGATGGATGGAGTATTTAACAAGTGCATAGAATCTCTTTCGAAGGCTTGTTTAACTTGTGCCGAAGAAAAGGAAGCACTTGCTAATGGTACAAAACCACAGATGGAGATTTAATACACCGCGTCTAGAAGATGAAAATTCATGTTGAATTTGTGTTTCTCAAATAAATCTTTTTCTACTCCATATCAGATCAGAAATTCAGAACAGACTAATACAAGTTTATTTCTGCTTCCAAGGATGGCTTTAGTCGTTATATGTGGCCAACCGTGCAGTGGGAAGTCGGCCACTGCAGCCTGCTTAGCTGAGGCTCTTAAAAACACCGATGCCAAAACATCTGTCAGAATAGTTGACGAGACCTCCTTTCATCTTAGCCGTAACAACAGCTATGCCAACATGACTGCTGAAAAGAACCTAAGAGGAGTGTTAAGGTCTGAGGTTGACAGATCTTTGTCAAAAGACAACATCATCATCGTCGATTCCTTAAACAGCATAAAGGGTTACAGATATGAGTTGTGGTGTTTGGCTCGTGCAGCCGGGACCAGATATTGTGTGGTGTACTGTGATGTGGAACAGGACACGTGCCAAACGTGGAATAATGAACGCATGGAAAAAGGCGAACCTGCATATGATGAAGAAATCTTTCTTGATTTGGCGAGAAGGTTCGAGAGGCCAGATAGCAGAAACAGATGGGATTCTCCATTGTTTGAGCTGTGGCCAGCGAGAGATGTGATTGACAATTCTAACAAAGCTATTGTAGATGCTGTTTCGTACTTGACCAAAAGAGTGGACTCGAAAACAAGGGATGTTAAGATCTTACAGCCAACAATCGCGACGCAAAGTGCTCGAACATCAGAGGCTAATTCTCTCTATGAGATGGACAAAGCAACTCAAGAAGTCATCAATGCCATTGTTGAAGCGCAATCTCGTGCACTCGGTGGGCCCCTCAATGGGGTGTCTATAGGGGAAGGGCTACCTATTGTTGATATTTCAAGATCCGTTGGGTTGCCGGAGCTGCGTAGGCTTCGTCGGACATTCATTAAGCTCACCGGGCAGACTAGCCTCAGTGGAGCACCCCCTCCTTCAGATGCTTGTAGCGCTAAGAGGATGTTTGTCGATTACTTAAATAGAGAACTTGGTAACAACTGAAGAAATTAATGATGATGATGATGGTTCTTGAGTGGTCATGAACAAACATATATGATGGGAGATTATTCATGTGCTGGACAAGTTAGTTTCTTGTTATTTTTTTGCCTGGTGTTTTCAAATCATTCTCACGGGTTTTGTAATTTTGTTCAGTTGTGGGTGCCCTATGGCAATGTGCATCGGCTTCAACTTCAAGAGATCGTAGCAGAAAATGTTGCTGTATCCTGCCACTTTGGCTCTGGCCAGGTTTTAAATTAAATCTGCTCCCAAACTCTATTTTTAATATTATCTGATGAAACATCTCACACATATTATGTTGTTTAAAGTTGTGCTTTTTACAATAAATTCATGCAGTACACGGTTTCCCCTGTCATATAAAAGTTTAAGATGATACAACAATTCTTACACCATTCATATCTTTAAATTGTTTTTTGAGTAAATTATATAAAAGGTCCCCAATTATAGGTCGTTTTACATATTTAGTCCATACATATCAAATATTACTAATTTAGTTATATTTATTTCTACAAATGGTCCTTTGTTAACATTTCCGTTAAGAACGTGGACAAAATTGTATATTCATACTTTTCTCTCTCTTCAATTTAGCTTCCTCCATTTTCTCATACTCTTTTCCAAACTCGTCACTGAGTTTGAATTTCTTAAACCCAAAACTTAAAAGATCGTTCCTCCAGTTAGACAAACAATTGAGAGAAGAGTGATGATTTTGGTTTAGGTTTCAAAGCTAGAAACTCAACGACGGGTTTGAGAAAGGTGTGCAAGGGAAGAGAGAAGCTTAATTGAGGAGAGAAAGGAGTGTGAATTTTATAATTTTACCCACGTTTTAACGAAAATGTTAACAAAGGACCATTCGTGGAAATAAATATAATAATTAGGGACTAAATTAGTAATATTTGATATATAGGGACTAAATATGTAAAACGATCTATAACTGGGGACCTTTTATGGAATTTACTCTTGTTTTTTTTTGTGAAATCTATCTCAACTCTCAAGATTCAAAGTTGCTAACTCATAAATCGTTATTCTAAAATTTCACAAGAATCGAAGGTTGTTTCGTAGAAAATCAAATAGAACAAAAGTTATTGCAATATATAGGCGTAAGAACATGTTAACATATAAGTTGTATGTATATATGTATGTATATAGTATAGATTGTATGAACTTAAAAGTTTAGGGTCCATATTTGTTCTGCACATTTATTATTGGGGTTTTATTTTAGTTTCATCCTACCATAGGAAACATAAGTTATTAGAACTCTATGCATGTGTTTGTGTGCTTATTAGCTCCTTTCATCTCCACTCCAACTGTCTTTGCCCTTAGGACCAGCTGGTCCTTCTCCACCCAAAGCCTCACTAGGAAGGATTCCAACAAGTTTCTCCACTTCAACTTTTAGGATTCCCGGAGGGGCATTTTTTACTGTGTCAATCTCTTTTCCGACGTTGTTTGTAGTATTCGGACCCCATTTTCTGGTATAGTTTAGCCATGGAGGCTCGGCAACCACATCTTTGCCTAAATGCTCTGCCGAGACTATAGAAAAGCTTGCCCCGGTGTCGACGAACATCTTCCCTTTGTCTGTGTCATTCCTTAGTCCTATGTTCTTGATTCCTTGTAACACGTCCCCGGCTTTAGGGTAAGCCGCATGCCCGTTATATGACGAATAGACGACGGGCTTGTTCCCTTTTTGGTATTCGACTTGAGAGGCGTTCGCCCACATTCCTCCGTTGTGCTGCGAGAAGTACACCTTTTTTAGCTCGCCGCTCATGTTGCTAACCCTAAGCGTCACATGTTCCCAATCTCCGATGTGTTCCCCGAGTGATCCAAGCTTGACGGTCACAAACTCGACTTTTGCTCGAGCCGGCCCGTTAAAGGGGTAAAACACCCAGAAAACTAAATCTGTAAAGGCTCCACCAAACATTGGTTTCACATGGATATAACATGTGAAGTCTTTGAGGCTTCCCTTTTTTACTCTTTCCTTTTCTGCTTCATCAATTGGGAGGTCGAGCCAGTATGAACCGTCGTCTGGGCCGCCTTGCGGGAGGTTCGCACCGGTTGGCTCGATTGCAACCGGTGCGGATTCTTTGCCTTTCGTGTAGAGTAACGCACCGTTCTTGAAGAACCAAGTGACTGAAGAAGGGAAGTATTGCTCGTTAGAGTCGAAGTAGATCCAAGGAGCGTAAACCTCAACAAGCGCTTTGATTTGGTTTAGATTGGGCATTGCGGATGTTGTCGACTTCTTGACATTCTTCAAACAATGTACCGTAAACGGCGTTGACTCTTTACCTCCATTGGACAACTGGGCCATAAACGAGCCTGCACTTAGGCCAGATGCCCGGATGCCTCTCTCTCTAGGCCTCGAGGCGTACAATTTTATCCCTTCGGAGTCCCATATCAATTCGTCGCTTTCGGCATCGTCTGTGAATTCGTCATGAACGCAACGGATCTTGTCAAGCGAGGGCTTGTCAGATGACGTTGTGACAACATAACCCACGGCTTTGTAGCCCGTGGGGGCCACCGGGCACCATATGTAGGCGGTGGGGCCGTCTTGCCTCCAAACTTGTGTGTAATCCACCGGCGCCTTCAGAGCTCCGGCGGAGTTTCCGCCGTCGCCCTTCGCGTCCTTCCCCACCATGACCCACCCGAAGAGGGGCGTGTCGTTGGCTTGCGCATAGTGTCCGAGCATGCAAAATCCGTCCGGCACGGGGGACGGCTCAAAAAACGAGACACCGTTGCCGCCGGGCCCACCTTCTCGAGTTGCGACAACTTTCGTAAAGCTCGTTACTTCTGACACTAATAACCCTCCGAGATCAACAGTTTCTTTCCCGAAACCGTCTCCGGTGGGCCACGCAGGCAAGGGCGAAGGCAACCGGAAGGTGGCGTCGACCGGAAGAGATGAAATCTTTGAGACACCACTGCCCATAGAAGTCGACATATCAATGCAAGTTTTTTTTTTCTGTATGTCCCGAACAAAATGAGGGAGACGAAAAACGTGAGTCCTTAAGCTAAGGAATTGTGCATCCAACTAATCTACATTATGATTTTTATTTAATTGAGATTCAAAGTTCTTTCTGTTTGACTCAAAAAGTCAAACTAGACGAATATACTGAGACGGACGTAGTACAATTTGATGTATGACGGTTGAGATTTTATCTTTAACTCAAATTATTTTAAACTTGTTATCTAAATAAAAATAAATAAAATGCACATATTAAGAGATTTAATCAAAAGTTCTACGGAGTACAAACCATGAGTGACATGCCTATTATTTGATCAAATTCCTGATATGAAAATATAAAGAAAAAATATAGTATAATTTGACGTACATTTGAATAGTAATTGTGTGTTTTATTTTAGGACGGAGGGAGAAGCATTTTGAAAAATTGTGTCGGTATTCACAGAAATATTCCGAGATTTGAGCATTACCCATCGTTAGTCCAAGAATCCAAACACTTTTATGTTATCACTCAACGACATTAACATTTTTATGCTAGTATTTTGGATTTTTTTCCTAGTGCAGAATAAATTTGAAAACACTTAAAACTACCGTTAGATAGCATTTTTCAAAATATTTAAATTAAATCGTTATTGTGAAATGGACCCAAAGATGATAATGCAGGTAATATCTTATTGATGGGTAAATAAATGTGAATGTAATTGAGATGAAATTATGGCACTTACCAATTAACCTTTATTTGATGATACAACAATAGTAATAACCTTCAAACGAATTAATGCGCAAAAATAATTATTCACTTTTTTTTTATAACTTTGCCTCTATTATATTGTTTTTAAACTTTATATTATGAAGCTATATCTTCATCGAACACCAATGGATCCCTTTTATATGACTCCACATTTCTATAATATAATGTGGAAAAACACTTACATATATGCATGCACGTTTTCGTGTTGCTAGCTAGTTTCTCTTTGTCTCAATTTATGTTGACCTTCGACTCCCAAAAAAAATATTACCTCTGTTTTATTGTATTTTTCGAGTTTAATTTTTTTGAGTCAAACACGACGAACTTTGAATTTCAATTAATTTCAATTTGTATCACATTTTAGTACAATAAAATAAAGTTCAGAAAATTCTTAACAAGATAAAACTAATGAAATTATTTTTATACTAATTTACATTATATTTTTTTTAATTAAAGCTCAAAATTTATTTTGTTTGACTAAAAAAATCAAACTGAATAGATACACTGGTACAGAGAGAATAAATTATGTTGCCCACTTTGACTACGCATCCATATGACAATTCGATGAAGGGCATCGTTGGCAGTTGATAAAACTATGGGTAGTGGGCTAGACAAATCATAGTCCAAGCAACATTCTCATCGTCGCGTCTAAAAATCTCGCAGTCCCATGTAGCCAAAGTACATCACAAGTGTGCCCGATGGGAATCTACCGCAATTATCGCATAAGGGTTGGCCTGACTAGGTCCTCTCGCAGATTGATTTGTCTTAGGAGCACCATTGTCGGTAGTAGCCCTACCTCTTGTTGTTTGTGTTCCGTAACTTCGTTGCAGCGATTGGTCTTCATTGAACAAGTATGATGGTATATACGTTTTCTCTGAACAAAAGCACCAAATAATAGATTTTATTCACGAAAATTATATCGGATGCAGTAAAATGATCTCTCAATTAGGTGAGATGAAGCCAAAATAAGCACTTTAGTATATTGAATTTGTGATCCCCTCTTCAAGCTTGGAGGGTATATACTTTTGGAGATCAAGTAGAGCAAGATTATGATTTATGAGATTACCCTAATTCTCTTAGTCTTAATCACCATTAATTACCAATTTTAAATCCTCACTTTTGAGTCGAATTAGTCCGACCTATATATATCACGGGAGCTTAATCTTCACTTATATTATTAATTGCGTGATAGAACATACATATTCGGCGTAACTCACTAATGCATGTTGCTATTAAATACTTGGGAATATTTAATTTTAATATGCATTAGTATACAAGTTTTTGGTCTATTACCACCTCTAGTCACCACACTTATACTCTTTCACCCCATAAAAAAGTTTTACGATTGCGGTGATATCGGCAAAGTAATGTGACGAGAATGTCTCTAATCTATTCGTTTTTTGTCAAAAATACTACCGTCTTTTATTTTCTTTCAATAATGTCATTAGAGTTTCTAAAATGTTCAAAAGTGTCACTCAAGTATTATGTTTTGTCAAAAATATCACTCTCTTTTTTTTCTCTTTCAATAATGTCATTAAACTATCTAAAATGTTCAAAAATACCACTAAAATATGAATCTTTTTTGTTCTTTTTCTTCAATTATATTTATTTTCTAAATTTCTTTTGTGTCCACGAAATTGTTTAAAAACTCTAGAGAGTTCAATAACATTGAAAGAAAAAATAGAGATGACACTTTTGACAAAACATAATACCTAAGTGGCACTTTTGATCATTTTAAAAAGTTCAATGGCATTAATAAAAAAATAAAAGCCAGTGGCATTTTTACAGAAATAAATAGTTGAGTGACATTCTCTTCATTACACTCAATATCGATATCAGGATGGCTATTGGTTAGAGTAAAAAGTTTAGTGTTTAAAATTGACGCAAAGGAGAAGGTATAATCATTTCTTCCCCGAGTGAATTTCAGTGTTTGATTTTACGGAATCTTACAAAATTGTGAAAATTATAAGCATTTGTAATTGAAATTTAAATAGTAGAGAAATAAAGATCATGTGTCATGTAATCCATTCTTAATTTTTTTTAAAGTATGAAATTAATTTTGGTCAATAAAAAAAAGAAAACATGTACTAGAATTTATGAAAACGTGTAAAATTATGTGTCATGATAGATATATTTCATTCATGTGATTTTTTTTAAAAAAAAAATTATTTTTAGAGTTAAGAGAAAATAGTATTCATAATTCACTGTAATTTTTTTTCTTTCAAAAGAAAATAGTATGCACGACATAGTGAATACGAAATCAATTTCCCACGTTGCCGGTTTGCCAATTCTTTGAGAATAATAACACCCACTTTTAGCTCTTTGTGTAGCTAAAACTCAAAAGAGACACTAACATTTTGTTTCCTATCACTGTCCATCTCCATGTGCCACCCAAAAATTGCTCTCAATTGATATTACATTTCACTACAATATGTTTGATTAAAATTATTTCTGATAAAAAAATTAATTTTAAAAACTATGGAGTATATACTGAATGCAATAAATAAGTAGAGTCCAAGAATTTTTTTTCCCTTGGCTTGAATGACAAGAAAACCATTTTCCAGGATTTATGTGAAAATTCACCCAGATTCGATTCTCAACGGATACAGAATCCAAAGAAGTTAAAGTGTAAGCCAACTTTACAATTTACATCCACAGTTTACCACTTTACCCTTAAAAAATAGAGAAGTTCCTGATTGGGTACACATCCAAACAAGCCACATAAAACTTTCTCTTTTACATGACTGTCATTGTTCAATTTTAAACTTCTGAAGAAAAAAACTCTTTGCTGAATGCTGATAGCATTTAATTTGAGTAATTTTAAATTTAATCTACACCATAAAAAATATTTCAAATTCGTCACCACTAATTTTATTACCACCAATAATAAGGCAAATGACTCTTGTTTTGGCCCAACAAAACTAGATACATACAAACATTGAAACATTCACAACATACAATCCCTAACATGTTCCCATTTGTTTGTCAAAACAAATTTCCCAACTTCTCTCCCCATTTTTCAACTTTTTTGGTGCATAACAAAGGTCATAAATGATCAATTATAAGCCTGTTTGGAAATTTCATTAGAGATTAGTATTTTAGATAAAATTTTAATACTTTGAAAACACAACTCCTTAACACTGCGCGTAGATAGCCTTGTCAAAATGCTAATACTAATCTCTAAAGTTATTCCATACCGCCATAAATATAAATGGAAGGGCTAGTAATGATAAAAAGCAATTATCAAATCTCTCCTTTACAAAAAACAAAAATGAAGATCAAAGGAATCAATCAGCTTCCTAATTTAAAAGCATCTACAAAAAGGCCCAAGCAAACACCAGCTTTCCAGTAGTTCACCATCCCTACCAGAGATTGAAGCCTCCTGGTAGGAAGAGAAGGCGGTTTCCGGTACATTAGCATGCCAATTCCCTCTATCCCTGCAACAACTATGCCGGCTACCAATACATCCCAATCCCCAGTTTGTCCTAGGATTGTAGACAACGCATTTGCCGTGTAGAATCCTAGGAGAATCAGAAATACCTTCACCGGGAAATTTTTCCGGGTCGAATTGAGTTTCTCCAGAAGCTTTCTCCCCCCTGAACCAACTATCCTTCCCAAACGCGTTCCACCACCTAGACCACCACCACTGCTGTCATCAACATTGGAGCTATCTTGACCACCAACACTCGGCACTCTGCCTGTGCCCAGAACAAATACTACACCTGTATCACGTCCTCTGCCCCATGGCCTGTACAAAACATACCACGCAAAGAAAGAATAGTATTGTGGGTCATTCAAATTGTGCAGGTACCAACCTTTAAAGAGTGCAATGTACAACAACCCAGTATAATCCCAACTTCGTTGGGGTCTGTGGGTCAAAATCAGAAACTGGATGGCTTTAAGTTCACGGTGTGGTCGGATAAAATGTGGGGTCTCGAGGAAAAACTTATTTGCACATAATGTTTTAGATTATACTCTGACCCATAAAAAGAGTTTATTCTTCACATGATGTGTGTATTTATGCTACTTTGGGTGGGAACCCTCAGCCTCCTTAGCTCTGCCCAAGGATCAGAGTGTGGGCTCGGGGGGATCTTGGCCGTTCGATTTTAGATCGATCAGCCTAAGGAGACATGCGAGATGACTCTTTGGAGACATACAGAAAGCAAAATCTCAAATTCATGGAGACATACAGAGAAGCCAAATCTCATATTCGTAGTTACCTAGTTTTAAGACAAGGCCACATCCTTTCACCATGCTTTAAAGATTGCAAAGTAGGGTGATGTCTAATAGTCCACTTCATGGTAGAGAAAGATTCTTTCGCAAATAAAAAAGACCCTTTAAAGATTTCATTCTTTAAAACGGATAGAGTGTGTGACGTGATTGCTTCCATAGTACATCCCCTTGAACTGCAAAGAAGACACATCACATTGTGACACCAGCTAACGCTCAAAGTGGATAACTGGTTACAGTAACAGTTTGCGACACAGGCAAAAAGTACACCTATACTTCCTTCATTCTAAAATAGATGCAACACTAGGACTTCTATACTATTTGCATTCTCTCATTTGACCATCTCTTGTGATCTATACGTAAGGAAAAATATAGTCATGTGAGATGATTTTGTGAGATTGTCACGATATAAAATTTCACAAGGTCAAATTTTTTATCATTTTTTATCACTATTTGCATTCTCTCATTTGACCATCTCTTGTGATCTATACGTAAGGAAGAATATAGTCATGTGAGATGATTTTGTGAGATTGTCTCGATACAAAATTTCACAATGTCAAATTTTTTTTATCATTTATATTAGAACATAATCAAAGATAGTAATGATTTAGTTTGTGCATTGCCTGAAATTCCAAGTGTTGCACCTATTTTGTGAGGGAGAAAGTATGAGTATAATATCGAAAACTGAGATCACATTCAAGAGTTAAACCAACCATAATTCAAGTATTGTAAGAGATCTATGAGGGCAGATTAATTGATCATTTCCAATACACAAATACCAGCTAACTTACCAGAAGAAAGTGTATAGGTAATAGGTAGGGTTTTAGGAAGATGCAGAGCTTGAATATACACCTTTTGCAAGGCAATCAATTGAATCAAATCGATCGCGGTATTTGATAATAAATTACAACAGATTAAAAATCGCCTGAAACTAATTCGATTATGATATAAGAACAAAATAACAGAACACAATTCAAATGATCAAATTGCTCACAAATCCAGAAATTGCCAAATCGGAACAAGGAAGCAGTTAATCTGGAGAATGTCGAGAAGATGAAGAGCTCACCTCCACGGCGGCGCACCTGGCGACTGTGAAGCGGAGCTTAGGCGCTACCGTGAAATCAACACTGGTAAAAGAGTCCGCACTGTGAGTGAGAGGGAGCTTGACCGCCGCCTTGGGACGGGAGAAGACTTGCGGTGGCGCTGCCGTCGACCCCTCAACTTCGTCCAAAATAAAGTGTATACGGAGTTACTTATTCCGTTTGTCCTATAATTATTTATTGAAATGAAGTTCGCTACTCCGTGTCAGGGTTTTTAAATTTTAATTAAACCCATACGGAGTTAGCTACTCCGTTCAGGTCTCCATTAAAATCTATCCGTCTCCTTTTTAGAGCGCCTCCATCCGCTCATTATCCATTCATCCCACACGGAAACAAAAAAGAAACAGGAGGAAGAGAAACCGCCTGAGGGAGATCGGAGTGATACCGCCGGAGGAAGATCGGACTAGGCTACTCAGCTTAATGCAGGTATTTTCTATATTTGACTTAATTTATATAAACATTTATCATTTTATGAAAATATTGAGATTCATAATCTATTTTCTCATAATAAATTATATAGGATTTATACCATGTTCATGAAATTTTTTATTCTAATTGTTATCTACATTTAAAGACTTTGAATTTGATTCTTATAATAGATTTAATATTTCTTAAAATATTGAAAAAAAATTGGAATTTTTTTTATTTTGGGATTGTAAGATAATTTTTAACACATTTAGTTACTTTATGAATTTTTTATTATAATTATCTTGTTTTGCTTTTATTGAATGAATAAATTGTTATGTTGTAATATTTGAAGCAAATGAATTATTATTAAATTAATAAATTGTTATGTTGTATTCTTTGAAGCAAATGGATGTTCATCCGGGACCTATTTCACGAGACGTTTTAGTTCTTGAACCCGGAGAACATAGGTGTGATGCGGTATGGGATAGCGAAGAATATGCTAAAGTGATCTTAAAGTGTCATATGACTTCTTCTAGTTTATATACAAAGACTTTTGTTGTTAATGGACCACCTCATGTAATAGAGATTTTACAAGATTATAGATTTGATAGGATGGAGAAAGTTGGTGAATTACAATTGGATTGGGCTTTGATTACTTCTTTAGTGGAGAGATGGAGACCCGAGACCCATTTATTCCATCTTCCCTTGGGAGAGGTGGGAATTACGTTGCAAGATGTTAGAGTTTTGCTTGGATTGCCCGCAGATGGCATTCCATTGGCGGGGATCACTGGTCGATCAAAAGATCAGTGGATTCAGATATGTGACGACATGATGGGTTTTAGACTTGAAGCATCTGATATTACCTCTTTTATGATTAAGATATCTGCAATTATTCCAAAGGCGTTGACAAATCATAGTGTAGATGTTGATTACCTACAACACGATAGAGTTATTATGTTAAAGTTGTCGGGTGGTAGCTTATTTCCCAACACGACGAAAAATAAGGTTAATTTGTATCTGTTGGAGGTAATCATGGGTGACGCAAACCTAGTGCGGGGTCGTGCCAATCGTTCTGTAGTTCTTAGTTTCTTGTATCGTAGTATGTGTCGTGCTAACATGACACATGTAGCACAGATTGGAGGGTGTCTTGTCCTGTTACAGCTTTGGGCATGGGAACGTCTGCCCATGATTAGACATAGGGGCGTTGTATCATTGGACCAGCTGGTTAATGTCCCATACGGAGTCAGGTATTTACAATTTCTTTATGCCTATCATGAATTCACTTATTTTATTTTATTTATGTTAATCTGTAATCCTTCACTTGTAGATGGGTGTGTTATCATCGATGGTCAGATTGTACGACACACTCCTTACGAGCATGCAGGGACCAGTTACATTGGTTGATCAAGGGAGAGGTAAGTACTAATAACATCACAATGTTATGCATACATATTTTATTTTAAATGTCTATAGTATTACTTGTTTATGTATGCAGTTTGTTTGGATGCCGTATCCAAATCTTGAAACCCTACCACCCTTTTGTTCAGATGGACTCCAAATATGGATATCACGCACTCCTTTAATCTATGGCTATGTTGTGGAGATGTACTATCCAGATCGATTTTGCAGACAGTTTGGTGCCCGCCAACGCGTTCCTCTAGATGTTTTGTATGATCGACACCTACATAATATTAATTCGAACACTATGGAGATTGGTGACAGTGAGAGACACTATTTAGATGTATGGGAGGACGTTATGCTGCATATGTGCCTATCGAATTTGGGATGTTGGATGCCACACCTGAGTATCGTTAGTGGTATTATTGCCTCCGCGGTCGAATAACATGGACTATCGACCGCGGAGACGTCGCAACGAGGAATAGCTATGTCATGAATTTCAGTTATGTTTGAGTTTATGTATTATTAAATTCACAAAATAAGTTAGTCATGGATTGTATTTTGTAATCTTTTGTTTATAAATAAATTATATGTACTCTATCAATAAATTTCTTGTATTTTTTCTTCTTCTTTTAATTTCGTTGTATAAAGTTCACTTAAAGTCAATAAATAGTAGTTTTATTTTTAAATTTTTTATACTATATTTTTTGCATCTATATTTTCTTCATGCAAGTTTTCTTTATTTTGTAATTAAATTATTTATTTATAATTTATTTATAAGTAATTAATTGATTTCTTAATCTTCTCCAATTTACACATTGTCTAAAAGTTACACTCTTAGAAATGAGTGAATTCATAAAATTTGTTTTTGAAAATATCTATTAAACATTAGTCAAATAAAACTATAGAAAGTATTTTTGTGTTTTATACTCCCTCCGTCTTAAAATTTTCTTCCCAGAGCACTATTCCAACTTCACAGGAATTTATATTTATTTGTGTTTTTTTATGGCCTATATGATAAAATAAAATATTTTTGTCACCACTTGTTTTGTTGAACTTTTGATGTAGTTTTTAAATATGTATGTTTTATTTTTTATTTCTATACCAATATTTAAATAAAATAGATTGAAAAAACTTGGGATTTTTCTTCGTTTTGCGAACCGGGAAAAAAGTTTTAGAACGGGGAGAATATCATCTAGACTTCAAATTTGTTCTCAAAATATCCCTTTATAATTAAGTGCTTTTCCAAACTACACTAATAATTTCTAAAGTAAATATTTTCCCGAAATGGATTTCATGAGCCTACTTGAAGTAGGTTCGTTCCATAGACAGTGGGACGGAGGGAGTAGCATAGTGCATTTTTTTGAAAAATTTTCCCCTATGAGGATAGTTTGGTAAGTTTACCCTGCGTGGGTCATCACTTTGCTTCATCCCAATAATGGCTCCATAGACTGACAAACTGGGACGGAGAGCAAGTTATTAACCGTACATCAGAGTTATTCTAACTCACTGGTTGAGTTTATGACCGTTTACACTACAACTATATTCCTTCCTTTCTTCATGTGTTGTTTCCAAAAAATTCAATTCTTCTTTTTTTTTAAAAAAAACCCACAATATTAATTACTTTTTATTTTCATTTTAAGAATTATTTGATTACTTATTAACGTATTTCTTAATTTGTGCGAAGTTAAAATGAAAAAAATGAGGACCAAATAATTATAACACCAAACATGAAATTGGGATGGAAATGTGTTCGGTTCAGAATGGAATTGAAATCGAAACCATATCGATTTATGGGGGTCGGAGATCCAATTCCATCGAAGGGAGACGGTTTCGGTTATTAATTTATGGTGCCTGAACCTATGGTTTCTGTTCCAATTTTTAAAAATTTTCCCCTCCATGATAAATAAAATTTATGAGCAACTCACTTTTCATAATTATAAATTATCAATAAATATATCAAGGAACTAATTCAACCAAAAGCTTAAGCTTGTGGTTGTGGCTCTGAAATTGTTTCATATATTCTAACATGCCCCCTCAGAGACATAGTTTTTTTCGAGTCTTGTACGTGAAACCTTAATTTTTTAAAATTGAGTGGCGCTGAGTTTTGAACCCGTGATCTCTTAGTCAATAAGACTCCGATACTATGTCAAGGAGCCAAATCAACCAAAAGCTCAAACTTGTGATTGTGGCCCAAGAAATGTTTCATATATTCTAACAAAATATTTATGACATTCTTCTTAAAATATAGAACCGACCATAGAATTGTCGATAAAATGATATTCTAAAGCGGCTCCAACCAAATTCTGTAATGATTCCACTCAACTTAGACTCAGAAACCGCCTCTGTCAAAACTCACACGTGTTCAACCCTTACAAGAAGTGTAAAAAATGCACGCTACAACAAGTTGGAGCAGCTCATCTGGTCATCACCTCCAAAACATAAAACGTTCTTTCATGAAGTCTCGAGTTCAGCCACCATGGGAGGGAGTGAGGCACATGGTGTTTCCATCAATGCACCTCTAGCCCCATAGATTAACTCTTTGGTCGGATCACGGATGAAGAGCTAAACCAACCAGCGTGTGATGAATTCTTATGTGCAAAAGTGTATACGCTACATAGAAACTTAAGACACAAATGAAAGAGTTAGATATTTACCTTACATCCTCTAATTTTTTCAAATATGGTCTTTAATGGTTTGGAATTAATCGAATGCAAGCTAAAAAAATTATTCCATCAGCCTCAGAGTATTTATCCAGTTTGATTTTTGATAATTTTTTTATTTCAATTAAACAAAAACTGTAACATTTGTAACCATATAAACGAGTCTATTAGATTTATCTTATTGAAAAACTTTCAAAATTTTAATTTAATGTACAGAAGTACAGTACAAATTGAGAATAACAAAAATTCAAATTTCATCCAATTTGACTCAAAAAAAAGAAAAAAAATACAGAGTAAACAATAGGAGAGAGATACCATAAAGAAAATGTCAAAAATCAGAGGCTACACAAAGAAAGCAGGCCTTGAGATGCTCCCTCACATTTTTTCACAAAAAGACACTCTATACCCCTTTGGCACCTTTTACATTTAATAAATCACCTCTTCTTCTTCTTCTTCTTCTTCTTCTTAATTCTTCATCTTCTTCTTCTTCATTCTTCTGTTAAAAACCTTACCTGTTAAATCCCAACTCTATAAAAAAAATCACCATAATTTGAAGCTTTTGGCTCTCATGATGGCCCATTTTGCCCTCTCCTTAGTTCTTTTCTTGGCTTTGGCTTCTACTTCAAGTATGGGTTTTCTTTATTTCCCACTTCCTCTTCTCCCTTGGGATTATTATTTCCCAAGCTTGATTTTTTACTGCTCTTTTTTTTTTGTTGCAGTATAAATTTCATGTTTTAATCTTATTTATTTAACAGTAAAAAAAAATTACACATTTTTTTAAAAATATAACAAAGATTTAAATTTCACCTTATCTTCTTCAGGTGGAATGTACTGTTTGTGCAAAGATGGGATTGCAGAGTCTCAGCTGCAGAAGAACATAGATTTTGCATGTGGAAGCGGAGCGGACTGCGGCCCAATCCTTCAAAATGGGCCTTGCTTCAGCCCAAATTCCGTGAAAGACCATTGCAGCTATGCTGTGAACAGCTATTTTCAGAGGCAAAGCCCATCTGGGGCTGACTGTAATTTCTCTGGGTCTACTACCCTCAGCCCAAACCCGCCCGGTAAGTAATTGTTTTAATATACTCCGGGTAAAAAGTTAAATATGTTTTTGGTCTATGTAAAATATTTTTTTTTGCTTTTAGTCTCTCGAAGATATTTTTTTATTAAGTCATCCTTGTGAAATGATTTATTTTGCAAATAGTTCTTTCACTGTTTATTTTAACATTAGAAGTAATGTTGAATTTGTTTTTAGTTCCTATAAAATTAGTGGTTTTGTTTTTAGGGACTAAAAGTAAAAATTGCCCATTTCATAGGGACGGAAAGCATATTTTACCCTACTAAAAAATCATTTCCAAAATTTTATTCTTCCCGTCCGTGAAATAATTTCTCATTATCTTCGATATACTCCCTCCGTCCCAAATTATTTGCCACATTTGTATTCCCGTGTCAAAATATCAAGTTTTTTCAATTCATTTTATTTACATATTGGTATAGAAATAAAAAATAAAATTTACATATAAAAAAACTACATGAAAAGTTCTTCGAAATAAGAGGTGTCAAGAATATTTTATTTTATCAAATAACCAATGAAAACGTTGAAATAAACAAAAGTTCTCGCGACTGCCGAAAAAGCAAACGTTGTGAATATTTAGGGACAGAAGTAGTAATTAGTTAACTATTAATATTCATATTTATACTCCGTGAGATATATTATAAAAATATGATATTTTGAAATAATGTTTCTTCTTATAATTTTAATTTTTGGTCTTATGTTTGTTTTATTAATAATTAATTTGTTTTGTGCAGCTTCAGCTGTTGGATCATGTGTTTATCAGTCTACTGCTGGGTGAGTAGCTTACTTTTTTACGAGTACTTTTTTTGTTTTTTGAAAGGACTTTTTTACTTATTTATTTGCACATTAGATATAGACTGAAAAAATTTAAACATATTTAACGTTTTTAAAACGCTAATCACACATATCCATCCGTCCCAAAACACTTTTCTCACATTCTATTTTTTGGATGTCGTGAGAAACACTTTTTTTCACTTATTTTGTTCCGTTTTTAAAGAATGAATATGTCACTCACAAGATTTTGCATGAATTTTCGGTCTAAATTAATAAAATTTGATCATCATTGACACACAAAACGCATTAAATTTTAATCCATTTTTAATGTCATTGGATTCACTTTGATTTTAATTGTGGTTTTAGAATATACGGAGTATATTAAATTTATATTATTAGATCAAATACATCCATAAATGTTTAGTGGTCAAAGAATTATATCAGAAATAAAAAAAATCAAATTAAAAGTTTTTTTTTTGGGTTGGGAGTGAATATGAAAGTGAGTTCATTGAAAATTGAACACCACATAATGGAATGGTTGGTGGAAGGATAGCAGCTTTAAAGAACATAGGTTAACAAAATTTCTAAACAGAGAATGTCAAGTACATTTGACACTTTTTTCTCAAATTATCAATATTCCCATCCCACTAATTCAAAAAAAAAGAATCCCATCCTAGCCCTTACGCTCGGCTCGGACATTAAGTCGAGAGGAGGTAAATGAAGTTTTGATTTGAGACTAGGCAACAGCGAATGAGATTTTTTTCTCGACAAATGAGTATATATGCTCCCTATGTTTAAAAAAAGAAAGAAATTTTAAAAGTTAATTCTTTTTCTAAAATTTGCAGGAATAATGGTGCTCCGTGGAACACCACCAGCGGCACGCCCGGTCCAATAGGACCGACAGGCGGTGAACCAGATCATAACTCTGCACCGGCTCTTCGCAAACCCATTCTCATCTTTCTCATCCTAACCATTGTCTTTTCAAACCTATAAGATAAGGTGAATATGAAGAGAAGGAAGATTATGGAGTATATTGTTAGTTGTTAGTATTATTAGTAGAAGATCGTTATTATAATTTCAAGTTTGACACCACGAATGACAACTATCATCCGTGAATTTGTTCATACATTTATTCGTACAGACGGTTACATCCTCGGTGTGAAACAAATCACAAGACAATGATCATTTGTGGTGTCAAAAAATGGGAAGTTGTTGTAAAATCACCCTAATTAGGTACCATGTTTGTATTGGCTTTGGTGGGTAATGTTTGGTTCTCTTTCATGTTAGTGTATGTATGTGTATAAGTGGGGGAATCATGTGATGTGGACTAAAATCCCCACTTGGCCACTTGTACTTCTTTTTTTTCATTTTCTTGATCTATTCTTGGGCAAAAAAATTATGCTTTGTAGTTGAATTGGATTCCATTTCCAAGTGGAAGATTTGGCTGTTTAAGGGTTGATGGATGATGATGTATTCTCATTAGTTCTGATTTTTTTCAAAGCTATGTCCTATGTAGAGGGAGTCATATTAGGGTTAACACCACGATTGACAACATGAGTGAAAACTGTCTGTAAATTTGTACGCGTGTGATTATCATTATTGGTCGAGTGTACAGAGACCGAGTTAAGAAATTGATCGGTCGATAATTTTTTTAAAACTTTTGCATATTTTTTTCTCCAAAACCTCAGAAAGCCAAGAGCTGAGCATTCTTTGAAACCCAAATGTGGACAGAGGCTCCATTTTTTTTACAAAGGCAATACTTTCTTCTGTTTGAAATAGATCAAGAACAAAGAATATAATGCCCCGCAAAACGCTCCGGTCACAATGAGAACCCAATTGAACGTCGATGGGTCGTTAAAAATCGAGTCCTCAAAGTTCATCCCGAACACTGCTGTCACCATAGCAAATATCGTCGCCACAAATGTCGCAGCCGTGAGTAGCAACTCATATTGTATAAGCTGGTTTTGGACTGTGCCCTGTTTTTACAGATAGACAAAAATATAAAAAATTCAGAATATACAGATTTTTTTGGGGGGGTGGGGTGGAGTAACGCGGTATGAGGTTACCAGTTTAATGTTGATCAGATCCTCAGTGTCATCAATATATTCTTTAAGCTGCATATTCAAAGTAAGTTCCTGTAAGCTCTTTAAAAAAAACTCTCTTAAAAAAATATTCCTACCTCTATTTCGACATGACGACATCCAATGTTACCCTTCAATAATAACAACCCAGTAAAATGACACAAAAAGTAGGGCCTGGAGAGGGATTGTGTGCCCTTACTACCCTAAAATATGCATTGAACCAAAACACTTCTCCCAAAAGTACTAAGGTAGCCAAACAGTCTTATATACAAACAGCACTTAGCCCTTGTTTGGTTTAGAGAAGAAATGGGGAAGAGAGAAACTGGTGAGAAAGAGATTGGAGAAGAAAGAAAGAGTAGAGAAATGGGGCTATTTGTGTGGTTTTTGGTAGGGAGAAATTGGGAAGGAATTGAGAAGGAATGCATTTTATATCCCCATTCTCTTCATGCGGACGAAGAAATAACATTGGTGTCAAATATTTCTCTCTTTTTGGCTTCTTCGTTACCAAACAAAAACCCAAGATAATCCCAACTTCGTTGAGATCTGGGGGTCAAGATATACGCAGCCTTACCCATGTAAACTATAATGAAAATTATCTTTTTTTAATTCAAATTCAACTCACTATATGAGACATACCTATAGAGTTATGAGCATGGAGTACAAATGGGTCCGTTTGGAAAGATGGAAAATGAGTGTTGGAACTTGGAATGATTTCTGGAAAATGAGATCTGAAATGTGACTTCAAGAAAACAAGTTAGTTTGATGGTGTTCAGCTAAGAGTTTGGAAAATGAAAAAAAATGCTTTTTGTTGTTATTACACAATAAAACGTGGAGAGTTTTGACGTGAGAAATAAGATCAGGGTGAAAAACGTCTTCTGCCAAAAAAAAAGAAAGACAATCCTGCAAATAAGGTTCATTTTCCATTGACTTCAAAAATCATTTTTTGTTGACTCCACTTTCCCAAAACAACAAAGACCAGAAAATGGGAAAATGACTTCCGGAAGTCATTTCCCCCTCCCAAACGGACCCTAAATTAAAAGTGTATGCCAAACTTACCGACAACACGGTGTTGAGTGTATTGTCGATGACAACGAAATACGCTTCCAAAAGCATTTCAAGTTGATCAATATTTTCTCTGCTGCTGGAAGAACTTAAAAAGCTTCCATGTCTGCTAGAGCTTATACTGCTAGAAGCACGTTTCAATCTGTGGGCCCCGATACCCGACCCCACGGGCGAGACTGGAGCAGATTTGGAAATCAATCTGTTATTCGCAGACGTGCTTATGCGATCATATTGTTGTTCACTAGTAATGAGACACTCTCTTCTCTCTTTCTTCTCTGTTAAATACATCTCGGCCATGTCTCCATCATCGTCCATTAGGTGTTCGATTTCATCACAAACCTGGAGATCAATTGAAGGGAGTAAGAGGAAAACAATAATAACAATAAGGAAACTTAATATACAGTTTAAGAGCGTGTTTGGGACGATATATTTTCAAGGAATCGGGGTTTTTAGAAGGAGAGAAGTACTTTGAAAAGAAACACTTGCCAGGAATAGAATCATCCAGAGAACTCTAGAGAATTTTAGAACTCTCTAAAAGCTTGTGGAAAAGTGTGGAATCCTATGAAATATTCCAGAACCCCGTGGAACCTTATGGAAGGGGTGGAAGAGTGTAGAGATTCCTCGGATGTGCGGAACATTCTTGAAGTCTATCCTCAAGATTGAGGGAGCGAATTTTGTAAAGTGGAAGAATCTCCATATTGGAGAATTATAAATTCTTTGGGCTCCCATTAATACCTAAGTGCATATCTTAATTTCACAGAGCGGGAAAGATCAATCTTTCCCAACATAATGCATATTCAAGAAGTCAAGAAAACAGTAGATTGGTGTTTTGTTTTCTTGAAGAAAGCACTTTAAGTGTCACTTGATCATAAACTATCCCCAAAGGGCTCTAACCTTTTGGACTCGTTGAGTTAAGGCAAGGAGTTGGCCTTTCAATCTACGGACACGTTCCAAATTATGAGTGCTTATAGATGATGCAAGTTCGTCAAGAACCGGGTGGACCTCAATTTCCAATTCTTTCACCTACAAAATTTACAACTGCATCAATGGCACTGAACTCCTCTTATAACAATGCTACTAATCTTGAAGGATAATCTTGTTTCTATTCACATTTTTCCTTGTTACCCTTCAATTTTTTGTCAAGCACGACTCTTTTTTGGGTCAAGAATACGCGTTTAAACAATACTTTCTTTTGGGTCATGGGGGAATAAAATCCTTTCAAAGTAAATGTATGCACATATGGAAAACTCATACCTGAGCATCAAGAGACATGCATGTCAGTTCCAAAGCAAGCTCCAATGCCTTGAATTCAAATGGAAGATCATCTGAACCAAAATCAAGAAACTATACATAGTTTTAAGATGTTTGCTTTTATGTAGTTTAATTTAAAAAAACAACATGCACATTGTGAAGAATTAAAAAGAATTATAATATCTTTGTTGTTCCGCACATTGCTAATGAAGCTAAAAGAGTCATCATTGACATTGTTTCAGTTTTGGGCACATAATGGACTAAATAAAAAAGTGCATTTAACTTCCCTTGCTTCTTATTCTCTATGAAGTTTTGGGAAGTAAATGCAACAATGCATCTAAGGTCTAACGAATACAGTCTATTTGTTTTCACATGGGTAACACTGCATACATCTTGACGACCCCCCCCCCCCAAACCCCAAAAAACGAACGGAGTTGGGATTATACTAAGGGTCCGTTTGGTACACAGAATTGATTGAATTGGAATTAGAATTCTATAGAATTGAATTATGTTTTCCCATTTCAATTCATTTTTTGCACTACCAATTCCAAATCCGCATATTTTTTTGTGATACCAAACACCAGAATTGGGATAGACTCTCCAATTTCAATTCCATGAATTGAATTCCGTATACCAAAAGGAGCCTAAGGTTGTTGTTGTTCATAATTCCTCTATCCATGAATGAATATAAACAGCTAGTCAAGAATCTTCTAAATTCCATAATTCTCTTTCCTTCCATAGATCTAACTTCTAAAGTATGGAAAGAAATAAATTGAAATCATATAATAACTCTGCTCCGTCTAGCACGCATCAAAGATTACACTCAACACAAAACATTGCGCCTGTTTGCGAATAGCGTTAGCGATTAGCGTTAGTGTTTTGGATAAAACTTCAACAGTACAGATTGATTTTGGAAACGCTACCCGTAGATAGCATTTTCAAAACGCTAACGCCAATCTCTAACACTATTCCCAAACATGCCGATTATTGGGACTTTACCGGACTGATCTTTATTTGTTTCGAGGCGCTTGCAGAGCTCCGACTTGTAGTGGAGCACACTTTCATCGAGAGAGTTCATCAGTACGACCTCCTCAGCTGTGATTATGCATCTGATCTGCTCCAAATTCACAACAATGGCTTGCTCTCGCCCTAAAATCGTCGAGGGATAAATAAACATCGGGTCCAGAAGGCGCAGATCTCTAGCCGGCAAAGAACAGTGCCTCATCACTGTGGCCTTGTCCAGTTCCAAGATCTTTGAATTCCCATTCCGATCAATCTTTATCCATGACCGGCTTCCGGTTCCGTGCCCCCTCTTCTTCAGCCCGGGAAGACCCGAAGATCCGTTTACCCTTTGATGGCTAGAAGAATGGTGTTGAAGTTCTGCCATTTGCTTGTTTCCTCTTGGATTACACCAGGAATGTAACCATTAACCAATGAACTGAAACTTAACATTTTCGTCATTAATCCTCCATAAAGAACTGAAACTTAAGATATTGTTAGCAATCATTGAGTTAGGAATTAGGATTAAATTACATTTTTTGGAGGACATGTAATATTGCAACTCACAGGAAAAAAACAATTTAATTATATAGCACTAGAATATAGTGGCTTTCCTAATACAATATATGTTTTTATTTTCAAATATGGTACTACTATTTAATGTTTACTGGTCATTGTTCAATTAAATGTTCATTGCCACTAGACATTGTTCAAACTAAACGTCCAACATTACTGAAAATGACATATGTTTTAATACTATTTAGTACAATTTTCATAAAAAAGAATACAAAAAAGACAGTCATTCTGGCATATCAACCAGATTATAAAACTAAGATAGTGAAATCAAAAGGAAAATGCTAGGGTGCTACGACATTGGTGCTACCATGGGTGCACTCATGGTAGCACCCATGTGGTGGCACCCTAGCATGGTCCAAATCAAAAACCAAAGTGGTGTGCATCATACATGTTAGAAAGAGCTTATGCAAGTTTCTATAAATCACAACTTTGCAATTAGAA